TTCAGAAGATGCTAACATTATATAACTTTCCAATTGAAGTTACCAAACACCTACTGACATTTTTAGTCTATAGGGCAAGGTATGATGATCAGATGAGTTTATGCAGGTAACAGCTAATGACCACTGGCTAATTATATACATTGATATATCACATACTCATCACTAGGGTGGAGAGCTTGAAGTTGCATTTTCTCTACTACTTTTATATTTGCTAAAGTAAAATTTCCAATTGTATTAAAGAGTGCTGTAATGTTGAAATATTTTACAAAGGACTTACTTTTCCTCTTCCTTCATTTCTGTTATATTTAATAAATGTAATATTAAATTTTCTTATATATGGTGTGATATGCCTGGTTGTTGCCTTCTTTATTATATAAAGTTCTAATTTAAAAAAAAATAACTGATAAACTTCTTATGTAGCTATGGTTCCCTCCCAGGCAACATTGAACCTGTAACAGATACATATGCACTGGCAGTAATATCCTGTGGTCACGGTTAATCACTATCATGAAAGCTCATGAAATGCAGTAAAATGGTTAGTTTCTCTGATGTTATTGACTTGAAACATTTTGTGATATCATATACTGGATGAGATTGCATTTACAGCTATTTGTCATAGCTTATCTGAAGTTGACATTTTTTGTTTAGACAGTAGAATCTGTTTGACATCTATACTTTGAAATGTGCTCCTGAGAGCATCAGACAAACTAAGTTTTGGTATGTTTGCAAAGATTATACCACCTTCAGTGAGGTTGTCTCAGTATATGTTACAATCTCAAAGACTCAATACTATCAGTAAATTGCCACATTTATTAATTTCTGGAAATTACTTTGAAACCAAAAAAGAAAATCCTTTCATGACTTCTATGTTAATGCAGTTCAGTTGACTATAATATTCATTCATCTTCAGATAGCACATGGAGTTTAGTCAACATGGACACATTGTTAATTCTTCTATAAGATCCACAAAGTGTGGCTATGTATTTGTACCATATTAGTTATATCAGCATAATATGTAGAACTTGAAACTACAAGTTGCTAGGATCCAGTATATATCCATCATCCATGTATTGAACTACCAGTGAGGGTAGGAAATATTCTCACCTACCAAATTGCAATTTAAATCACCAATAGAAAAGGAATAAAAATAAGTATGTAGGATATTAGAAAGAAAATTATGTGTTAACAAAAAAATCATAAGCAATCTGGCTAGTCAAAGTAATATTTTGTAATTTGATAAATCGATCTCTATCCTCTATTACTTAGTAATTGTTTTTTGTAAATTACTTAGTAATTTATTACATCTTATTCAGAAAAGCCTTGCCCTCTGATTTATAGCAGAAGTTGTCCTTGCTAGTATTATATAATGTTCTCTAATTTAAGATATCTTTGCAATTGTAAAAAGCATCTGTATTCACTTGTTCAATTGCCATGTCAGCGGACACATTGTTGTCAAACGAGTTAATAATTAAATTCACCTCCTCTACAGTTCTAATATGGGTGCACTGCTTTAGAGAGAATACAGAATGATTGGCTATTTTAATACTTCATTTAATCCAGTTAGTAATAATATAGAATAGTAGTATTTGGCTAAAATTATAAACTATATAGTTAATTTATGTAAGAAACATTACGTTGGCTAATTTGTATTTATATTAAAATAATGAGAACTAATGAAACAGAGGGAGATTTTTTTTTTTTTTTTGTGATGGTGACTATGTTTTTCATTTCAATTTGGGAAAACCTAGGCCTGAATTTTCCTTGCTCTAAGTGGTGATGTGATGATGAAATTATTTGCTTTGTTGAAGCTCAACTGGTACATTATGTTGTTAATTCATGAAAATATACTCCGTGTTGTTGTGGAATCACTCTTCATATGTGCTATACCAGTTAGTCACTCTCCCTTTCACTATTCTATTAGATTAAGGTTTTTTCCAAACCTCGAGTGGAAGAGGTGTGAACAACCTTACTTAAGTATCCAGCATATAATAAGCAAATAGAATCCCAATGCTTGTGATCATGTTGTTCTTAATGTTTTTTTTCTCTTTTGTAATTTTGCAGACTAAAAACTTAAATATCCCAGTAAAGAGAGGGGCCATACCTTTTCTTATCTCACCTCACTGAAGTAAATTTGACCCAACACTTAACCATGACATTTCCAGAATCCAAGCATAATGATAACCCTTCCCTTCTTAATGCTATGATTATTTTCTAGCCCTTATATACTTGTAGTCATATGATGAATCAAGATACTGTGGCAAATGAGTAAAGAGGCAAATGATTGTTTCTTCAGTTCCTTTCTCATTTTGAGGGAAAAAAATCAGTTTTCAGTGCAGGTTGATGGAATTCCGGAATGATTCACACATGTCCCAAAATGACATTGTTCCTCATTTCCATCTTTAGCAAACTATAATTTCCAGTTTTTTTTCTTGACATCAAGGTCCTAGAAGGATTAAACCCTCCCACAAGTAAACACTGTATAAATGAGCTCATGTCTACAGTTCTCCATGCTCAGTTGAAGTGACTAACTCTTTATAAAATCAGCATCATCTAGGATGGAAGCACTGAAGTAAAGCTACAGGGCTGATTCTTATCCTCCCCCCTTGCTTTCTTGGCCCATACATACATAATCTCCAACATCTTGTCAAAATACAATCTGCATTGCATAATGTTTTGCTGTAAAGTCATTCCTCTTTACTAACTGTTCTTTTTTCTTAGCCTCACATCACATATATGTTCAGGTTGTAATAATTAACAATCTGTAAGGCTTTGCAGCATGCCACCCATGATTACAAAATATTTTCCCCAACCAAATCATAAACATAGTTGAACCGAAAGGCATTCTAATTTTCATGCTATGTTGAGTATAAATATAAATTCAAGGCAGTCACTATCCATTTCCAAATAAGAATGTATACCTACACTCATTAAAAATCATCTGGAAATGTGTATTATTAGCAAATGAGTAAGAAATTTTCACTAGTATAAAATTCCTGCTTTATATAAAAGCCACACTGGCCGTTCAAGTATTTTGAGGTTTTTTTTTTCCCCTATAGTTTTATATTTGTCTAAAATGATGAATTTAGACTTGAAATTATATCAAAGGAAAATTAAAAGTCACTTCTACCTCTAGGGCATTTTTAGAGTGTGCATGTGAAGAGCAAAGTGTCCACCTGCAGATCCACCATCAACACTCTTTTTCTCTCCACTCTAAGGAAACAGCTCATGCTTACTAGGTTTTTAGAGAACTAACAATCCAATGGAGAAGCAACACCAGATTTCTTTCAGCTTGTGCCAGTTTGCAAGTTAAAGGTCAAAGGGCAAAGACACAGAAGAGGACTCTTCAAGGAAATTTTTCACAGAAGACAATGTTTAAGTTGTTATTAATGACAGTCAAAGATCAATAATCAAGTTCAAGGCAAGCTGTTCATTGTTTCAAAAGCTAATCCCCTCAAAAGCTGGCTTTCACACAAAGCCAATGTCTGACTCATGGGGTGCATTCCTTCTGACCATCTCTAATAAGTTCACAGCCCAGTAGCTGTAAAGCCTTTCACTGCAAGAAGCAGCTCCTAAAAATCAATAAAGAGGTCTGTCAGTTGCTGACTTTTCTCTAGGAAAAAAATATTGATACAAACCTGCTCTGCAGGTCACATGAAAATGACAATACTGCTGTTAGGACAAATTACACTCAACAATGAAATGCTTTGGTGGTCTCTTGGCTCTGTCAGTGATCAAATGGATGGCTAAATGCCAGAAGCCACACTAACCCTTTGAGAACTATGGTTGACATGCAATAGATAATGCACTGGAGGATATTCATGCAACCTCAGAGTCATCATTTTAAAAAGGCAATGCTAACTCTTTGTACCAAGGCAAATTGAAATTCCATGCAATGAATTTTAAAACAGAAATTCAATATGTCTAAGAAAAAAAAAAACACTTACATTATTATAATTGGTTGTTCAAATAAAATTTCACTCTTGTAAGATACTTAATAAAATATCATTTTATTTGCCAAAAGTTTTTTTGGCAAGTAACATATTTCTGTATGTTAAAAATGCACTTATAATGTATTGTAAATCACTTAAAAATTACGTGGGGTTATAGGATATCTGTTTTAAAAGCCTGAACTTCTTGAACCTGTGTCTGTTTTTACCATTGCCCTGTTTTATAATTTGCCACATAGCAATCCTAAGACTCTGGAAGCTGGTCTGATAGTTCTCAAAGGGTTACACCAATGTATTACTAGTGTCACATAACCTTATAAAATAACTGTCACTTTAAACCACTTTAGAGACATACTGCTTCTTGCTCTGCTTATAATGAATATTCCTGACAGACCCATGGAAGGCCTGGGGCAATGGCCTAATACAATTTGGGGAGATTATCACAATGATGTAGGAGTAAGGTGGCAGGAAGAGGTTTGGAAACACTCTGAAACAAAACAAAGCTCCTGTTTGAATATAACTATGAATATAAATGTGATGAAACATTGAGGACAGAGCTGAGAACAGCTGTATAAAACGAAAAATGGATGTATTATTAAGGCTGTTACTATATTGCAGATATTTTGGCCCCTGTTTGTTGGAAAATGGCTGTCCCAACAGTCTAAAGTCCTGCAAGTGATTTCCAGATCTCCCACCTGACAAAAAGTGAAGCGTAGGAGACTCTCCATAGCAGTCAGAGAGCTATCTTCTTTGGAGACAAAGCTGTTTTGGGTCTTCACACTTTCCTGAAAGTTCAATTGTGGGTTCTTTGTTTAACCTTTTGTTTCCTTTGCTTTAAAGCAAAAATTCGTGGACTCTCTGTTTTGCTTCCCCCCCCAGAAATGGGCTCAGATTTCAGAAGGAAAATAATATTAGAAACCTTTAAGAAGAATCCTTCTTCTTTTTTTTCCTCTTCTTTAGTTAATCCTGAAAATTTACTGGGCATTGAGCGTGCAGAGGAAAGGCCTAGAACTGAATGACAAAGAAAGACAAAGGACTGAAGAACGGCAGATACTGTGCATCATGGAAGCTTCCCCACGAGTGTATTTCCACTCATGTGCAGGACCAGCAACCCTCTGGGTTTGAAAGGTCAGCCTCGAATCAGGCTGCCACAAGCCTGCTCCTAGCTAGGAAACAGCATAACAGCTCTTGTCTTGAATCTCAAGTTACCACAAACTCCTGGAAAAGAAAGAAAGTAAAAACCCTACATCACACCCACTCTTGCATAGAGCGTTTACAGTACAGTATGTGGCGGGGTGTTCCTTTCCTCTTGAACTGGAACACAGTGTAAACCAATACAAGGAGGCATAAGGCCAAGATGCAGGGAATGACAATAGCTATGGCTTTCACAGTGCTGGCTGTGTTGTCCAGTTTGATGACAATGTCTACATCGTCTGGTGGGCTGTGTCCTTCTTTCTCTCTGTCTGTTGGTCCATCACAGCCCATAAAATCCTTGAGGATGGATCTGGGATATCCAGGTTCTACCTTGAGTATCTGGTTGTTGAATTTCCAATACTCCTTTCCTTTGTAGAAGTAGGTAAAGCCTGGAGAGAAACACACACACACACACACAGACACACAGGATCATGTTATTTGTGAACGTGTTTATGTGTAAAATGTTTAATTAAATTGACTATTTCTTAAAAGATGTTTAAAGTTTCTTAAACTTTGTAGAAAGAAAATATTATCCTCAGCTCAAGTGTCTGTTGAATGAATCAAGCTGCTCTGTTCCGGAAACCACTCTCTAATGCCCATGGAAAACTCAGTGGACAGAGACAATTTATCTGTGGATAACTGTTAAAAAAATCATGCTAGTTCACTTAGGAGAATTTTACCTGATTGCTTGCTTATAGGATCACTGTCACAGAGTAATACATTAGTGTGATAATATCAACCTATATTGAAAGATATTGAAACATCCTTATCAATACAAACACTGTTTGCTCCCAGGGTTGTATTGAGTTCATGGTACAATACATTATAAAGGAGGCTTTTCATGAATACTCAGGAAATTTCTTATCATCTTAGTGTCAGGAGTAGTAGTGTTTCTCCTAAGCAACAGGTTTACTTTTGTCATTTGGACAAGAAATCATAAAAAATATTGTTTTCCTAGAGATACTGGAGAAGTTTTCCTTTCCTTGCTAGTGCTCTTCCTATGAAGTATTTAGAGTATTTTGTGCTTTAAGTCTGCTTCTGGCTCTAAGTCAAGCACATTTGTCTCTTATTTTTGTGCTATTTTTTATTTACCTAGGATATTAAATTTATGTCACCTACTACAATTCATCGAACTTTTAAAGACATTAATGCTTTTAGAGTCAAAGATTAATAGAGGATTAGTAAATCTGTAGTTCTATCTTTAATACTTCTAGCAAATCTACTTTGTGGGAGTAAGGGGCAATAGGTGATATGTAGAAGGCTTGGCTAGCAGTACAGATGATTTAGGGTCCAAAACATTATGGATGCAGGTAATAGACTTGAAAGCTTGTGACAATTAAATGTGTGTGTGTGTGTGTGTGTGTGTGTGTGTATGTCTTTGTGTTGGGACTATTCTTTAAACTTTTGTTGCTTTTTGTTGGGCATAGATCCAGTTTTTTTTCTTTTCATTTATAGCTCCTTCATGTGAGTTTATTTTTGTGTGTGTGTGACTGCACTACTGGGACTTAATTAGTACTTTGAGATAAAATCCAAGAAACCAAAAAGAAATGTTTAAATGTTATAATTACTTAAAAGCTGTATTTTGAGAACCATCTATTTTAAATAGTATGCCTAATTTTGGGACAATAATCATTAATTAGGGTTTTCTTTTCCCTACATTATTGTGCACTTATTATGAAAAATCACTGTGTTAACAACTTAGTGAATGACATCTTCAAATATTCATAATTACTCAGTCATTTAGAATTAATTACCTAAATTTTACAATATACTGAGGTCTTGAGATAAAATAATATGCCCAAATCCTGGTGAAAGTAGGATTTAAATCTTGGTCTTAGATACTGAATATTTGATGATTTTTCTAAGATTGGGTCTTCAGAGATCTACTGCCTGTCAAAATATACTTTGTTAAAAGACTGTGATAGATAAGACTGTGATAGATAACACCCTTGAATAACAACAACAAAAAACTCTCTAACATCTCTCAAAAAATTCAGCTAGGATAGACCATCACTTCAGGTCATTTCATTTTGGAAATCATTTATTCAATGCCATAAAAATCTGCTGCTGCTTTTAGTTTCGATGGGCAGTTTTGCAATCAGAGTAACTTGCCAAGTGAAAACAGGTGTATGTAGACTCAAATGTTTCTGCAGGGAGCTGGTATTTGATCACACTAATGAAATCCAATGTAATTATTCAACAAGCTTGGATGGAGAAATGTTGCTGGCCTGCCAAAAAATAGTACATTAGATGATCATAGTTGAATAATGGCACTGATCTAGAATTAAATAGACCTTCAAAACAGGTGAACATACTTCTTATATTTATAAACTAGAAACCAACAGCTATAAGTGTCCTCATCTTTAATTTTTAGTCAAAGCTAATTATTATGAAGTCACTGGGTATCATGTAAAAATTCAGAAGTTTCATTTTCATACTTATCATGTCTACAGGACAAATTTTATAGTAATACATTGCATATTCAGGAGTAGAAATGTAGTTTACTGGTGCACTTGTTTAAGATAAGAAGGATAGTTAGTAGGAATTTGATAATAGAAGTATTCAAACACAAGTAGCCTAAAATCTTGAAATCTGTAAAATGATCACACAAAATTCATCTTGTTCAGTAATTTACATTTTTTTATTTACCCATTTATGAAGTGTCAGTTGGAAAAATTTTACATATTCATATATTTTTTGCTTTTCACAGTAACTTTGCTATCATACCCTTATGGTGCTTTGCTTATTAAGAGTGTCAACTTCAGATGGATTCTTAATTGAATTATCATTTTTTTAGAAATTCTGAGGAAGAAATCAGTGAGGTTGTAATATATTATTTGGTGGTTTTCCTGCCCTGTATTTGATAGGGTTTATTAGTGACTTTTCTATTGCTTGACCCTAAAATGTAAAATGCATTTTCTTCACCAGCTACCTTGTATATTTCGCTAGTAGAAGCTCCTACAAAGCTGTAGCTATATGTTCTCTGCTTAGTAGTAAGGAGTTAATTGCTGTTTAATATTGTGAATGAACAAATATAATCTTTGGGAAATGTGTTTATATTGTACTTGCAAATTTTTACTAAGAGAATGAGAGTGGGAGTAAAGAATTAATACATCAAATCAATAGAATCAAGAGTTCAGAAACATAAAGTGCTACAGTGTTAAAAGTAGGGTCTTGCATTAACCTTAAGATTGCATTTTCCCAGGGAAGGATACAGTATGTTGGGGCTTGGAGGGATAAATAGCAGTTAATATAGAAACTGTCTGAAGGGAGGGAATGCAGTGATTTTTTTTTATAATAACCTCAATATGTGTAAAATCTCATGTTTAAAACACTATCAAATAAAAAATACTAAAAATAAGTCATTCTACTATATTCTTTCAAATCTCATTTGGATTAATTGAGCTATTATTAGGGACTGAATGCAGAAAATAAAGCAAGAAAAAAAATTAAATTAAGATGGCTACAGTTGAAAAATAGCAGGAGGATGACTCAGAAAGCTACACTTTGAGAAAGCCTGAGTTTGTCTAGTAAGACAAATGGAAAGTTTAGCCAGACATGACAGATTAACAATGACTTTAATGATATAATGTAGAAAAACATGTTAACCTGTCCCTTTTGGAGACAGTGTATTCGAGCATATTCAGTAAGGCTGGGACGGTCTAGATTCATACCTTCGATAAGTAATTTACCATTTTAAATATCTAACAGTTTTCTTAAACTATCAGTAGTTTATGTTGCTTTCCTAATTTATAAATAATAATAAATGAGGTCAAGGGTATTGCTGTTGGACAATTAAATAAGATTATAAATTTATGCAACACAACTGGCACATAGTAGTTATGCAATAAATTACACAAATGTTTTTATTTAATTTGTGAAGATGGTAGAATTAATTTCAATATGTACTAAGGGAGGCACACTGACTTAAAATGAAAAACTAGCCTTCAAAATCTAAAGCACTGGACTTCTAGAGAATTTACCATTATGAGAGGATTTCAAAGAAATTGAAAATGCTTTTCTTGGTGGACGGATGGACAACTGAAGGCCAATTTTAACACTCCAGTATCTCTGTCTTTATGACTATATAATGTCATGTGTCTAGACTTAACTTTATGACTATATAATATCATGTGTCTAGACTTAATAGGCAGCTACTATTAGTGAAATTTTATAAATATTAATAATATAATTTGAACTTGTTTTTATTCTTACATGAAAAAATGGAATAAAGTCACAAGCATGAGACATGAGTAAAGAATAAAATGTGTAGAATTTGCTGTCAGAAGATTTCTTAGAACAACATCTTCCAGCTTGGTTGTTATTGCTATTCCACACACAAAGGTTTTAGACAAATAAGAGTTTCAGAAAAAATAAGGTATCATCATCAATTTATGAATGAATTTTTGAGTAATGGAGAATAGCAAAGAGAGCAACAAATATTTACTGAATATTTGACATATGTCTGCCTATGAAGAGTTTATACCAGAGAGGACAATGAGCTTTGTGCAATCACTGTACAATGATCATTGTAACAAGAGATTTTGAGAGTAAGCAATAGAGTACCAAAAACAGATATTTAAGAAGGATTTCTTGAAAAGTGAAGTGTGAGTGATTTTGAAGATATCACAGAGATAGTACAACCAGGAAAGTCTACAGGACATAGATGTGTAGAGGTTTTATCTGTACCTGTTAACCATTGCTAAAAATGTTCTTCATAACTCTGAATGTATTTAATTTTGTTCTTGAAAAAGAGCACTTATCTTTTTTCTGATTTCATGTATGTTATTACACTCTCCATGCTATTGATGATCCACATGATATATTAGTTTTCTCACGTCCCTATTATAAATTATTTTAATATGCTTTTTCTCTAGTTTAGAAATAGTTCTATTTCTTTCCTTTGTTCTGGAATACTGTGTATAAAATTTTTGAATTATATTTATGGTTTACTCCTATTTACTAATTCAAAAAGAGGAGAAAAATGCTATTTCGCTTCTGTTAATTTTTAGAAGAATATGGGTTATCCATTGCTTGGTTAACTTTGCATTGAACATCTATATGAAATTCAATTCTGGAGAGGGAGAGTAGACACACAGCAGTTCTGTGATGTGATTGTTAATAGGCAATCACACAGCTACTCTAGCCAGACTGCATAAGCTGAGATCTTCCTAGTGCTAACACTCAGACAAAGGAGTACTTGAAACATAGTAGTGCCTACTATCAGGTATTTTTGTTCTCAGCCCATACTTAGCCTCCTAATGACCAGCTCCTGTTCCATGTATGTTTGTTGGTATCTCTATAGGAATTTTAGTAGAAAGATAGGTAAGATTATGTCAAAGATACCCATGACTTTCATTTGAAGATGCCTTTATTTTTTTCATAAACTAAAAATAAATTGAGGTTAAAAACACTGAAGCATAATATTAAATGTTAATATAAGAAGGAAAGTTTATGTAAACATATTATGATGCAGACCTAATATGGGATTTCCTAAGGATTTAATTTCACATAATAAAAAACACATTATTGAAACATTTTGTAAATGCATGAAATATATTACATGCACATTACATACCATTTTCTTTGTGCACAAAGGCTCCCTGAGGAGATTCAGGGATACCTTTCCAGACTGTGATTGGTTTGGGATAGCCAGGATCCATGGTTTTCATTTCTTCACTATATCTCCAATACCTAAAATGGATAAATAATAAAACCAATGACACATGCATAGGGAAGGAAATTAACAGCTACATTCATTAATCTTTGCTATATGTTACTTGCATGCCTATTGATGATATTTAGAAATTATTTTAATCACACGAAAGACAGAGGACACAAAATATCTTGCTTCTTTCCCTGTATAAGATAAAAGGGCTATGTTACTATATATTTGCTAAAGTTAATTTAAAAAATGCTAGCCAACAACATATGCTTTCTAAATGCATTTGTAATTTATGAAAGTATCAACAACCTATGTATAAACCAGATGCTTTCATTATTTTTTTTTAATCTTTCTTAGACAGCAGAACATTTTAAAAAATAGTCTGAAGTACAGTCTTCATTCATTTTTCAAATCTTATTCATTCAACAGATATTTACTGAGTAGGTACTATGTCCTTGGCACTGCTGCAGTTTCCGGAGTTATGACCTTGAATAAAACATGGCCCAGCTCTCATCAGTATTATATTTTAGGATATCGAAAGGCTGTAAATAATAAGCCCACTTATAATAAATACATACTATGACAGGAGGATATAAGATTTATTTAGAAAACAAAGTGATTTAGTGTTCTGGCAATATGGAGAAATCATTTAAAATCAGTGGACAGAGAGGTACTAGCTGATAAACTAATATCTGAGTAGACAGTAAAAAGAAGTGGCAAGCAATATGTGGAGTAGGAGGGAGAATATGCCAGGCAAAGGAACTAGTTATTGAAAGTTCCTATAACATGTGAAAGCTTAGAGTACTTGATTATCTATAAGGAGGGCAAGATGAGCAGAAATAGTTAAGAAAATAGCAGGATCGCAGAATTAGTTAAGAGTAGGTCAGGGTGGGAACAGGGATCTAAGGTTAATAGATCCTTGTGCTATAAAAAAGTCTCTGGAGAGGTATAAAGTCAAAATAGATGTTAAGCAGAAAGACTCCATTTTTTAAACCATTATTTTCAAAAGGAGTATGTTGCCTACTGTGAATTAATAAGGGAGGTAAAGTGCTAGTAAGGAGACCACTTTGGATGTCATTGCAAAAATCCTTGGCTTAGAGTATAAACTTAAAGATGATAAAAAATTAGAGAAATTGGGATTATTTTGAAGGAAACTCCCAAGGGCTTATTAACGGATTGAATGTGGGATGTGAGGGAAAGAAACTGAACAGAATTGTAAGCAGTAATTTATGTAGTGTGAGATGATTTACAGAAAACATAAGTAAATACTCCACAAATACACACTGTAACTGTGTAGTGTAAACTGGAGGAAGTAAGTATATTTTTCTACTTGATATTAGTGATCATTATAATAATAAATTATTAGTGATTTTTGTCTTATTGCTTGGAAATTGTCTTAAAGGGATCAACAGTTAAGCTTAAAACAAAGTATGGCAATAGAGTTGGATATTTTTGTGAGAAGATTCTGAGAGATGATATAGAAACATAGCATTTTAGAGTCAAATGCTATGAAGACCAAAGTGTATCCAAGTGTAAAATTATAGTATATTAAGAAAAGGGCAAGTTGTAATCTAAGGAACTGAGTTCTGTGCAACATGTGAGATAATGAAACAGTGGAAATTTTAATCTGAATGTATAATTCTATTTAAAGATTCCCCAAATAATCTACTTTTTACCCATCACTATACTTAGATTTCATATGGGCTCCTGCTTTCAATACAATTTATATGTCAGTTACTTTCAGTTCTGCGCCTCTGCCTGACCTTTCCACTGAGACATAAACTCAATTTCCCAAGTAGTAACTTGACTTTCCTAGTTGGGGTATAAACAGGCACCTTAGTCTGAATGTAGACATGTTAATCTCTAAATCCTCTTCTCTCAATATGCCTTTCTCTGTTTGCTCTATTTTCAGAAATGGCACGATCTGCTCAGCTATTTAGGTGAAAAACCTGGAAGTTATCCTTGATTGGTTTTATTCCATAAACCTAAAATTCAGTCCCCAGAAAGACTTGTATTACATTCAAGAAGTGTTCTATACCTGTCCCTCTGCTCCATCTCCATTCTATCTCACCAAAATACTCAAATAGCCTTCCAATACAATTCTTGTCTCCAGCTTTGCAGAGCATTTTTGATACATTAAGTTATACCAAACAGTTTATGTCACTTTCCTGTTGAAAACTCTCCTATGCCTTCCATTTACTTAGAATAAAATCCAAAGCATTTGCCATTTGGTATAAGCATATCTGCTTACCTGTTTGACCTCTTCAACCACTTCTCTATAAACACAATGCTGCTTCTGATTTGAAAATTCCAACATTTGTACTGTTATCTAATCTGCCTATACATATATTGTTCTAAATAGCATTATATGGTTGAAACTTTTCTCTACTCAAGTTCCCTTTCCATTATCCCCTTCACAAGTGAGATCTTCCCTGATTTCCACTTTAACTTCCTAACCACAACTTAACACCACTGTAAGGAGACAGTTTCTATCATACCATTGTCTTGTTTTAGTTTTTGTAGAATTTTACAGTGATGAAATATCAGAATCATTTATCTGTTTATTATTGTCTCTTTAATATAATCTAAATGGAAAGGGAAGCCTCAACTACTATATCTCTGTTACCTAGCATATATGTGCCTCAGAATGGGCTGAAAATATTTTTTGAATGAATGAGTGAAGACTATGCCAGAACCAATGTAGAAATCCTGAGAAAGCAGGAATAAACCTATTGAGAATGCAATGTATTGTCTCAATTCATATTGTTCCAAGGATAGTCAATTAGAAAAGGATAAGTACCTGTGAAAGACAATAGATGGTGTCTAGATTTTGGTAGGAAGTGAAAAGATAATAAGGCTGATCTGAGACAGCATTTGAGCCAAAATTGTACTGTATTTGTCTAGTAAATTATAGAAATTATTCTGATTTTCAATGTTTTTCTCAAGTAGTTGTACTTTCTATCTCACCAGAGTACCCATCACTTCTTACTGCCTTATATGTTACCACTGTACCCAGTATTACATATATTTTCTAGATGGACTAGATTGTTTCTTAAATCCTCCTCTGCTCTTAATCATAGAAAAATAGAAAACTGTTAACACATATCTTTTAAAGCAGAATGATGGCAATGAAAGAAAGAAAAATACTTAAAGGACAAATAAATTTTCAGTTTTTGCTAAAAAATATTATATGTATATGTGTATATATATATATATTCAAAAGCTATAATTATTATAAATGTAAAATAACTTTAAAGAAGAAATATTCACTGAATTGTATAAAAGTGACAATAAAATTGTTCTGTATATGTTTGCAGGTTTACATCTTTTCAATCTACTTTTTAATTACTTGTTTTTTATATGTAATTGGCATATAACATTATATTAGGTTAGGTATAAGTTACTGCAAGAATCAGTTTTCTATTATTTTAATCTAGAATGAATATATTGATAAAAGTTGTAATTTCGAAATGATATAATTATATGAAGTGATCTGTTTGTTAAACATCTACAACACAAGAAATCTTATAGAAGAACACACACATAAATTAATTAAAAGCCTACTTTAAATATACTTAAAAACCTATAAAGCTAATTATTTAAGAAGGAAGAATTTTAAATTATTTTTATAAATTCAACATATTTTGAGTTTCTCAAGTAGGAAATAAAATACTAAAACTCTTACTCCTATGTGCTAGTCTTTATTCTATTATAAAGTTTGTATCTAACTTTTTACTGACTTTAGGTAGCCCAGATTTAATTTTTAAAGTAAAAATTTTGAATAAGTACTAAGTTTATATAATGGGGGTTAAAAAAAAAGTAGTGCCTACATGAGTGAAAAAAGACTATCTGATAATAAAATGGCAGTTTTTACTATCACTTATGAAACCCTCATTATACTGTTAGATGAAAACTAAGCTTTCATGCTTTGTTCAATAGAAATGTGTCTTATGTGTCTTCTCAGTCTTTTGGTTCTACCCCTTTCTGAAAAAAAAAAAAAACAAACAAAAACAAACAAAAAAAACATGCAACTCCATATTGAACCTCGTTCTGAAAGAGTACATTCAAGTAATTAAAACCAGCTGGGAAATTAAACTCTAAGAACCTTAAGGATTGTTATTTTAAAGGATAAGTTATAGGTCTGGAGACTTATTTTCATTACTGGTCACCATGCTGTGGCAATCAATTCATTCAACTATCTTGCTGAGAGATACACTTTTTGAGGCATTGAGTAGCATCTTATCCATTAATCCTACTTTTTTTTTGGGTGAGGGATCTTTTTTGTGACTTTGTAAGGAACATTTATCAAAACCTTAGCATCATTACAATCAGTTAGAGTATGAATATTTTGCTAAAGAAATATACAGAGAACTAGTGGACAGAAAGTTAGAAACAGAATAAATTTAAAAGTATAAACACTTATTCATTGTGAAAAATTGTAAGAACTTTTTGTTCAAAGATGAACCTTAATGTTTGAAATGATTCACAATATAAAAATACAAATCTCAAAATAAAAATCATTTATATCCTTGCATGTGTTACTCTTAGAGTTGAAGATATCGTACAGGGCCCATGGTAGGCTAAGATTAGTTTTGGACATTAACATATATGTGTTTTAAATTTACTTATAAACATAGTAGAATTAGATACCTAACCCCTTCCACATATGAATGAAAGTTATTTGTATGTCTTGTTTTGACTCAGCCTATCATAGTGTAATTAAAATTAAAATTTTCATCTTTGTTACATTTTCTACCTGATATTAACTGAAATTAATAAAAAATAAAAACCTTCAAACTACATTTAATATCTATCAAAAAGTGACAGGGTGGAACTGTTTACTTAGTAGCTACAATAAGTAATAAGACTAACAATTTACTTATATTTTTACAAACCCTGTTAGCCATATTGTAAGAGGAAAATAAATTTGAAAAAATAGCAGGGAAAGGAAATTACATTTCAAGCTAAAAATAGTCTACTGATAATCTGGGTTATTTTATAAACCTACTTGCTGGTACCTAAACAAGTAACTTCTTAAGAAATAGAAACATGACTAAACTAAAATTATTAGAAAGTGTTTTCAATAAACTGTTTGTAAAAAGTGTAGATTTAATTTTAAATATGAGAGTATAAAAAGCCTGTGCTAAAGTATACTCTTTAAATAAAGTATAAAATTATAAGAAAATGTCTTAGAAGGTACATATCCATTTCAATACAAGTTTATAGGTTTGTTAAAATTATAGAAAATAGAAAATCTATGTACTCCATGTGTTCATTATAAAATCCCATTATTTGTGTGCATTAGAAGAAAATGTATCTTAAATATTACTTAAGTAAGTTAAAATATGTTCAATTTCATCAATTCCTATGTTTATACCCACACAATCAAATTCTTAATCAATAGTACATGCTTCTGGGAGACCGGATATAATGAGTTCTCTAAAGATTACATAATTATTTTCCTCATGTAATGTGTTACTGACCTGTCCCCCTTGAAGAAATAGGTTTTCCCAACATCTTCCCACCAAATGGCTGAATCAATACCATGTGGAGGAATTCCACTTCCAAGGGTAATCAAGTCATGAGGGTAACCAGGTTGAAGAGTTGTGTCCTTGAACACCCAATATTTGTTACCTGTATGAAATAAGTACAAATACAGGATAAGTTAATTTAATATCATAAATTAGAATTTATCTGTTAAAATAATGCATTTAAAATTAATTTAACATAAAATTTATGAAATTACATAGTAGCTTTAACACCTAGAATGTTCTTTTTTGTGACATCTGTTATTTTCAAAAGGGCATATAATAAATGCTACTTAATAATATAATCAGAATTTATGAGTAAATTTAAGAATCAAAAAAGGTCTACAATTTGCCATAAAGTTCAATTCTGAATTAAAGAGCAAGGATTCTTTCTCTAGAAATATAAGGTCCTATTTTTGGTCAAGATTAAATCATTCCTGTAGTTTTTGCATTCTGTGCCTTCATATTTCCTTACTGATTACCACCTTTATTAAAACACTTCTCATCTAGACAAGTCACCTGGTCTTATAAAGTCATCCTTTCACCCAATGCCCTGTTTTAGCTTATACACTACTCCTCCTTTTAAGAAAGATATGAGAAGAATGTTTACCTAACATCAATGTTTGTAATTAATGGAGCATGACAGTTCTAAGTAGAAGACAAACTTGTTTTTATTGCTATTGAAATTATCTACAGACAACACACTTCCTCATGCTTTATATCCGGCAAACAGTCTATAACTATTGCTCACTCCACTGAAAGTTGATTTATTACCTATTGTCTACTAAAATCTTTTGTCCTAAAGTCATCAGTCATCAATGCCGCCCATTGAAAGAAATAATAATACACAGTTATCTATAAAGACAACTGCCCACATACAGTACCCTTCTCCTTGAACTGCAAGAAAAACATTTGTTTGTTGCCTTTTCTTTTTTTAGTTTCTCCTTTCTGGGTCCTTTAACTTTATTCACTCCTTTATACTGACATTACTCAGTGCTCTCTTCTTTACCTTCTTCTTATTAGTTACTTATTTATATTTGCACTTTTCTAAATCAAATAGCAGAGATTTCACAAACTCAGATACAAACCAAAGCTACATAAGAGCGCACAGGAGTAGAATGGTGGGGTACTGAAATATTGAGATAGTTCTAGAAAAGTCAGCAAATATCCACTGCCCTCAAGGACTACTATCCTCAGGTCCTTCTTGATCCATTACATTAACTAGGCAACTTACAGGCTCATTAACTTCTGCTGGGGTTACCATCTCATACAGTAAATGAGGTAACATCTGAAAAATTATCATAAGCCCTTTGTAGCTGAAGTAAGGCCTTACTAATTGTTGTAATATTTCAATACTAGCCCTAGATGAGGATATGATAAACTGTAGCTTTCATACTAAAATAATTAAAGAAAATTAAAACAACGTGTTAGCCTAAAATAATACAAAAAAAAAAAAAAGCACACACACCACACACACACACACAAAGAACTGCAGTCTAACATACCAAAAAGAAAAAAAAAATCTGCGGACTGGATTTAGTTAGGACTCTCTATATTGGAAGCAGCAGTAATCTTATTTACATCAAGAGCTTTTACTACCTTGTGATACCATTTTAAATTAGGGGGGGAAACATTTATTGAGTACTGTCATTGTCCTAAGGTAGGACATAAATGTTTATACCTATGTTAGGTATAAGGAATACTAAAGAGAACAAGACAGACATGGCTGCTACCCTAATCCTCTCATATTTGGATTAGGCAGATGAAAACAACTGTATGCAAATAAATAACTTCAGTCATTGAAAACTGAGTGAATGCTATTATTAAGGAAACATATTAGGAAAAATATATGAAAAAAAGAATAAACATAAGGGGAATTTAGATAAAGAGATCTCCCCTGAAGAAACTGTACTGAAGCCGAAATTTAAAGAGAAGATAGAACCTATGCAGAGCATGTCAGGAAGAATATGCCAAACAAATGAGAGTTTAGTGTGATCAAGAGGTCAGTGGAATATAATATAAAAAGAAAATGAGAATGAAAACCAACATGATGAGTTTGAATTTTAATATGAGTATATTGAGAAGTCATCAAGGAGATTAAGTTGGTGGAAAGAAATGATCTGTTTTATATTTTCAAGATGATTTTGGTCTTCTGTTGAAAATGTACTACAGAAGGAAGAATGGAAATGGGAAGATCATCATGTGTCTTTTGCAAGTTTTAATTATTTGCATCATCCATACACCCACTTACATAGTGCATGTACCAGGCACTCACAGCCTTAAACTCAAGGAGAGGGGAGTAAACAAAAAGAATAACATCTCCACATCACGGAGTTGAGATTGTGGTGAGTATGCAAGGGGAAATGACTTTAAACAAGCACACAAGTGAAGAGAATTTCAGAAAATAAAGTGATATAAAAATACAGAAAAAAGACATTAATCTGACAGTGATGGGATGTCAAAGGGACTTCTTTGTTTTAAACACAGGAAAGACCCCTTCACATAAGTGACATATGAATCGTGACTTAAAGTAATTCAAATGAGCCAGTCCAGTGAAGATGGTTTGAGGAGGAAAAAATGCCAAAAACAAATGCCCTCACAGGAAGTGACTTATTATAAAGAGAACACAAAATATTATGAGTGTAAACAGTATGGTCGTATATCTCTATATTGATTATTATAAACCAATGCTACCTCAACAACAACAAAAAATTTTTTGTTAATAAACAGGACTAAAGTGGCAACAATAGTGACAGGAAGAAAAGTGAGTGTTATGATACATTTTGGCGATGGAATTAATAGACATTGCTGGTAGGCAATCTAAGGGAATAAGAAAAAGATAATATCAAGAATAATCCTCCAGTTCTGACTTTTGTCAATGAAAGACTACTAACAGCATTTTATAACAGAGAAAGAAGATTGTGGTGGTGGGCCACTGGGGGTTCAAATCAAGAGTTTAAGTTGTCAATGATAAGTTAAAATGAAGAGGTCAAGTAACTGCAGATGGGAGTTTATAGAAAGCAGCTTATAAATCACAAGAATGAATATGATATTTGCTAATTTAGGATTTGGTGCAGTTATTCAGAAATTTTAGAGAGAAAATAAAGGAGAAATTTTAGAGAGAAAATAAAGGGTTTCTAGAAACACATGGCCCTCAAAAGGAACATACAGAAGAAAAGAACAGTAGAGATAGAAAAGGGTAGATAAAGAGGGGAAGACAAAAGTATCAGAAATCAAAAAGGCATGGTCATAAATATCTATCACTCATCAAGATATCTCTTGAAAGCTGATATTGTTTATAGTTACCTACTTTGAATCCAAAGTAACACACAAGTACAAATTTGAACTCATCAAAGGGCCTTTCTTCTTGTTTTTCTGTGTGGGCAGACAGCATGCTAGTTAATCACTGGCTCACATCAGAAACCTCTTTATAATGTGTGGACCAATATCTATAGTTGATTTGATATTCCTTGGTCCTGTTCCCTGCAATCCACCCTTATTGCTACTGGAAGTTGGTATGCCTTGCTATCATCCCAGAACTGCCTTGTCCCTACACTCCAAGGTAGGTCCCATTATTCTCCATACTCTCCATTTAGACAACTACTGCAGCCTAGCACCAGAAAAATTCTTCAGTTATGGAGATATGGTTTGGAAAATGAGCAGAGGTAAGCAGAGCCATTCATGTCTCTTGGGTATGAGAACACTGAGAGACTTTCCCATTTAGCAGGGAGAACTCATTATTTACTATTGAATAGTAAATACTGGAGAACCCATGGTGATTACAGGCAAGAAGATATAGTTTAGAGACCAGGAGATCTACTTGAGAGGTGCCAACTCTGGCCACCCACACCTGAACTGGATTAACCTGATTATGTTTATTTTTCTTGAATGGAACCATACTGTTTAGTATAGTTTTGACCACCCAGATATCACCAAGATATTTGACATTTTCAGTCTTGATTTTAGCTAATGTGCTATGCCGTTGTTTCTAGTTTGTTTTCTAGCTTGTAGCCTTTCTTTTTTGTTTTTGGGCTTGCAGTCGGTATCTCTTTTATCTGTCTCCCATAAGTACATAAAAAGGATCTCTCTAAGATGTATACCTGATTTTGTTTTTGTTTAAAATCTTTAGTTGTTTTTCATTGCATTAAGGATAAACCCAAACTCAACTATGTGTCATCTTTAAGTTCTTAATATTGGTCACTTATTGATACCCCCTTCATTTCCCTTTCTGAATAACTGTAATGGCTCTTTCAAAACATTCCTTGAAGTTATTTCTCTAAGAAACATTTCCTATGGTTGTAAGATGGGCCTCTTACATGGACAGAGGCCAGTCTTATATCATATTACTTATGATAAGAACAACGAGGACAAGCATTCTATCTGACACCCATTTTCCACCATTATATATAATCTTGAAAAGTAGTTCTTAACAAATGATTACCAATTCAAAAAAGCATGTTAACATTTCACAAATAACCAAATACAAGATCAAAAATCTAATACTAGGGGATCCTAAAGGCTTAATTATAACATTTTGTGCATTAATCTTGAATCTTGCCTAATAGAGAAGAAAATGAATTTTTATCACCACAAACAAGTCTGCAATATAGGAAGGCGTGCCTCAGTATTGTGTTGAAGAAGCACTCTAGTGATTACATTTAATTGTTAGGAAATACTATCATAAAAATATACAACTATCCTGAGCTATTGTTTTATCTGAATATTTCATAAGGAAAAGAACTCACAATGACTCAGATTGCTTCCTTAGAGAGACTTTGAGATGGAAAATTCAGGAGGCTGCTTCTTAGTTTGCTCTATATTTTAGTAATATCTCCGTGGCTATTAAAATAGAGAGTATACAAACAATAGAAGCAAAATAAGTTCCTGTTTCTATTAGCCTATACCTTAGTGACTTACTACATCCTTTTCTTTCATCTCTGTTTTAACTAGGAGAGGGTACAGTTTTAGGAACTCCCGTGCTAGATCTTTATAGCAAACCTTTTTTATTGGTTCAACTCAGTTGTCCCTTCTTTCAAGCAGAAGCACTCAAGTATGCTTTAGAAAACTTCTGTTTGCAGGTCCCAATCTCTATCATTTCCATGAAAA